GTTTTATTTTCTTTATACAAACAAAAAGAGGTCTTGTACCATGTGACGAAGATGAATGCTGTTACCAGAATGTGGTTATTGAGCTCAAAATTCCATCACTGCGTAAAGGAATCATATCATCATGTGTAATAATGAGTGGTAAAAAAGGCAGTCAAGTTTGGCTCTGTAGCTGTTGTCACCATACCACGCAGACTGCCAGCACCGGTAGAAAAGCCACCACGGAAATCAGTTTGGCACCAACCACAAAGCTCTTTTACTCCACAAGCCAAGAAAGTGTCTGTCACGAAGGCGGATAGAGGACAATAGTCTATCGAGCTGACTTCCCCTGGAGGAGTCGTCGCTCTCAATGAATTGTGACAAATAAGTGGAAAAAAGTGGAAAATGGAAAGTTATTGGAAAAAAAAGTCCAAGTTAAAAGCCCCATTTGGTGTCGGTTAGTTAACCCTTTTGACGCTTGAGATGTGCTGTTCTCGATATCTCACTCTCTCTATTTCTAGTAAACAAAACCAGAAAACAATTTATGCACAGAGCTCGTCGACATGACTGACTCAGTAAAGGGTTAAAGGTAAGTGTTATTTCAAAAGAGCTTCCATAAAGTAATGAGTAGATTTCCATGTACAGCTAAATAACATCCCCAGACAGCCTGATCAAAGATGGACACCACAGCTAACCCACATCAACAAATACAAACATGTTTATTGAGGTAAAATGTGATGCGGTACACATACTCTTGTGCACACTTTGCACAACATCATAGATATTGCTAAACATTTAACATATTGTAATATTATTTGTCAACTTTTAGACTTGGGCGTTTCTTTGATACATGAGCAGATAGAAAAGGACTTATTTACTACTTCAATGGTGAATGACGGACCGCCTCATTGACTGATTTTCTTAGTGATGAACACGTCACATTGTTGCTCTGATTGGTCCTAGCGCTATCCAATTGCATGTGGAGACAGTTTGGAAGACGGCAGTAGATTACGGCCCATGACTGGGTTGTTTCAATGGCGTGTAGGCAGACTATATAATTGCATATATACAGGATGGCTTGTCAGGCTAACTATTTGCAAGATTTGACCAAGATTTGAACGGTCAAGGGCATAACATGTAAGAATTTTAAAGTGAAATAACCACAAAACACTCTAATGTCTCAATCATACTGGAATGAAGAATACACTGAAATAAATTTCCTTCTCAGTCAACTGTCGACTATTTTCACAACCGTGAAAGAAAGAAACATGGTCATTGTGTAGAATCTGTGAGTCCACAGGGTTGCTGAGTCTGTGCTAGCTAACGCTGCTTTGCCAGCATTTGTAATTCGACACTGACTGTTTTGTAGAGATCCTAAGCCAGTAACAGGAGAAACCCAGAAGTTATTTCTTGTAACCATAAGAAGCCACAGCATATTTTTGTTTACTCCAAAATTGAGAAGACAAAAGGCTAACGCTGAGCTAAAAATGCTAACAAAAAAATTGTTCATGGACAAATCTCAAGCTACTTTTTCAATTACCACCAACTTGGTATTACAGTGAAATGTACTTATTAACATACCGAATGTGACTCCTCTTTGCTCATCATTTAGAATCTTCTGGCACTGATCTGTAGCTGCATAATCAAGCTC